CTCCTGGGCCGTTGCTAGGCTGGCGCCGGTTCAACGGGTCTCCAGCGGGGACTGGCCAACTGCGCCCTCCCGGAGCTTCCCTCCGCCCGCCCAGCGGCGGGTACCGCAGTACAGCCCCCGCCCCCAGCCCCCGGTTCTATCCCCGCTGATCTTTCTGCGGGGGGAGAAGGATCACCGGGGTAGGAGGGCTGGTGAGATAGCCACACGGGTGTAGCTTTGACAGCGAAAGGTTTCTAGTGTAGACAAGGCTTTATGCCAGTATAAGGCCTGGTCCACACTAGGGGCTTAGCTACATTAGAGTTTTATCGACAAAAATCGACATTCATGGACAAAACGGTGGAGGTGTACACACTGAAACGCTCCTCCCGCCCATGCCGACATAATAAAACCACCTCAGTGAGAGGGGTAGAGCTTTTTGCAGCACAGTTATATTGACCAAGTGTCAGTGTAAACACTGCACTTGGTTATGTCACTCTAAATGGTCTCTAGGAGGTGTCCCACAATGCCCATCCTAACCCCTCTGAACTCGGCTGCCCTGCACCCAGGTACACAAGCTCCCTCCTTTAAAGGCCCAGGAATTTTTGAAATTCCACTTTGTTTGCTCAGTGTGGACAGCTCACATCGCATCTTCCCAGACAAACATGCAGCAAATGTTCTCCCGCTTGGAGCACACCTGAATTGTTGGATCTGCTGGCTCTATGGGGAGAGGAGGCTGTGCAGTCCCAGCGCCACCCCAGTAGGAACTTCGATACTTATGGGCAGAGTTCTCATGGCATGTTGGATAAGGGCTACAAATGGGACATGCATCAGTGCTGTGTGAAGATAAAGGAGCATAGGTAGGCATACCAGAAGGCGAGGGAGTCAAACTGTTGCTCTGGTGCTGTGCTGAAGACCTGCTGCTTCTATAAGGAGCTGGATGCCATCCTCGGCGGCGATCCCACCTCTATCGCGAAGAGCCCCATAGATACTTCAGGAGGGGAGGGGAGAGAGCAGACTCAACCCCGAGGACGAAGTGGTGGACAAGGAGGTTATGTTGGAGAACAAAATGTGACAGGCAACGGGGAAATCAGGAACTATGGAAGACCGGGACCTCTTCTAGACCAAGGAGGGTTCAAGCCAGTCCCAGCACTCTGTCTCTGATGTGTATGATGCAGAGAGGGGGTAAGTAATCTTTTTTAATTGATCCTGCTCAGTTATATGAGATAGAGCTGTCCTTTGCTTTGTTATATGCTAGAAGTAGGTTAAGGGATAGAAATGAACAAGACTAGCTGTGTTTGCATGTGCTTCACATTCCCCTGTGCAGCTATGCAGTGGGGTGGAACATTGTGTTAATACACACTGAAATTTCATGGGACTCCTCCAGAGAGATCTCTAGAAAACTTTCCTGAAGGTACTTGCCAATTCTCTGCCAAAGGTTCCTTGGCAGAACTACTTTGTTCCTTCCCCGTTGTAGGAAACTTTCCCGTGCCAATCAGCAATCACTTGTGCAAGGACCAAAGCAGCACATAAGCAAGCAGCATAGGGACCGGGTCTGAAGCCGCATGCATGCAGGAGATGCACCCTTGCATCCTTGCTTACGCTCAGGAGTGAGATATTGGCTTCAATGACCCCTGCCTGTGGAAAATGGTGGCAGAATTTACAATGTTGTCCCTAGTTTAGGGTGACCAGATGTCCCGATTTTATAGGGATAGTCCTGATTTTGGGGTCTTTTTCTTATATAGGCTCCTATTACCCCCCCACCCCCGTCTCGATTTTTCACATTTGCTGTCTGGTCACCCTACCCTAGTTGCTTGAAGTGATCCCCTTAAAAAAATCACCTAGACCCTTTGTCCCATCTTGAGCCCATCCCCGTCCCCGGGCCAAACTCACCATGTTTAGGGCATTCGTCAAGCTGTGTGCTTGCCAAGAAACAGTTAGAAAGAGATGTATTTTACTATAATGATTTGATGCAGTTAGTGCACTAACAGTCATGCTTCTGCTTGTTGTTTCTTGTGCTTCTGCAGATGTGGCCTTCAGGGGAACCTCCTATACACTGGCAGAGCGCCTCCGCCAGATAAGGAAGTGACCGAGAAGGAGCAAAGAGGACATGTTTCCGAGAGGTGCTCCAATCCTCAGATGCTGAAAAACAAGAACACAGGGTGTGGAAAGAGACTATAAATGAAAATTATAAAATAGGCAGGAGAGGAAGGAGAGCCAGGAGTGAATTTTAATGGGCCGAGCCCAAAAGCGATGGTCCGCCATGCAGCTGCTCCGTGCAGCCGATTCTACAGTATTTTATGAGCTGGGAATCTGAACAGGAATCTATGGTGCCTGCCCTGCTGTGTGCCAAGGAAAGAAACAATTCAGGATTTCTGCTGACATGCACAGAGCAGCTTGCCACAGTGGACTGTCAGTATTGGGCTAGGGAAACAAGCACTGAATGGAGGGATTGCATCATGATGCATGTATGGGATGACAAGCAGTAGCGGCAGAACTTTTGGATGCACAAATCCATCTTCCTGGGACAGTGTGCAGAGCTCGCCCAAGCACTGTGGCAAAAGACACCAGAATGAGAGCTGCCTTCACTGTGGAAAAGCAAGTGGTGATCGCTGTGTTAAAGTTGGCAACTCCAGGCTGCTACCAGTCAGTTGCGAATCATTTTGGGGTTGGAAAGTCCACCGTGGCATCTGATGCAAGTATGCAAGGCCATTAATTGCATCCTGCTACGAAGAACTGTGACTCTCAGTAATGTGCAGGAAATAATTGATGGCTTTGAGGCTATGGGATTCTCTAACTGTGGCAGAGTGATCGATGGAACGCATATACGAATTAGGGCAACATACCCAAGTGCAGTGTCTTCACTGATGCTGCGTCACTCTAACACCTGGCAAAAAGCTCTATGCTGCGCGACACGGTGATTTTATTATACTGGCATAGCAGGGAAGTTACATCAGCAGGAGGAGCCTTTCAGTATGTGCACCTTCACTATTTTGTCAATGAAAGCTGACTTTTGTTGACAAAACTGTGTAGTGTAGACAAGGCCTAAGTCCACACTAGGGACTTTTGCCAGTGCAGCGATGCTGGTCAGGGATCCTACCTCATCACACTGACATCACTGTGCTGACAAAGGTTTGTAGTGCAGGCTTGGCCTGATGGTGCGCACACAAGGACTTTTGCTGTTATAAGTATTCTGATAAAAGAAATCACATCCTAACCAAAATAATTATAGCCTGAAAAGCCTTAGTGTGGGCACAGTTATTGGTATGAAGGTGACTTTTACTGGAACAATCATTCCAATTCTCTTCCTGCACAGAAGTAGCTATATCAGTATAAGCATCTTTATACCAGTATAACTACCCTCACACTGTGGAGTGGGAGTGTTGTACCACTTTATACTGGTACAGATAAAGAGGCACAATGTGAAGAGAGGACAAGCTCTTAGTCCCAGCTCGACACTACAATTTTGTTAGCCTTTAGGCCCCCATCCATGCTGAAGCAGCACATCATGCTATCCATCACTGTTAACCAAATCCATACCCAGGACCACATATGC